GCCTATTCCATGTTACAGGAGTAGGAGATTATCGTCTGTGACTGCCTTGGCGAATGCAATATGCCAAGTGATAGGGAAGTCTGATCAGAACTCGGTCCCTCAGGCTCACCGTCAGTAGCTATGGCTCGTTGCTCACTTTCTTGCGTTTTTAAACAAGTTTAACCCATTGGTGCCGGGTATGGTGTATACGTATGTGCTATGCCCACCGTGAGTACTTTTTTGATTGTTTTTACGCATAGATGGCAACACTTGTACTAAATCACCAATGAGCCAGCTGCGAGTACCGCCTGTCTCGCCCGTTTACCCGTTTCTTTGATTTACGAAATATTTTATGGTATCTTATTTTGCTGTTACTAATGTTAAAAAACATTATAAAAATTATAATGTTTATGATAAAAATAACACCATCGATTTCCATAGCACTAGTGAAAAATACGTTTTTCCCGCCATTTCAAATCAGGCGCTAGCAGAGCCATCTATCGGCAGACAATTCACGAAAAACATAGAAAGTGAGCACAACATTTTCCCCATTTTTTGTTCATTTGCCCTGGCGGCATTGGGTTAAGAGGCATGTCATTTGCTAGACAATACCTGGCCTAGTTTCCCATTCCCTGTGAAGGGCTATGGTAGACAAGGTGGAGGGTGGGATGAAAGCCATTCTTCTATCCTTAGAAAGCAGAAGTATTTACCTTCACTTCATGTAATTGTAGTCTCTTGTGGTCTTTTATTAGCATCATCATCATCATTCTTCTTCTTATAATAATAATGATAATAATAATAATAATTATTATTATTATTATAATTATTAGTTGTAGTAGTAGTAGTAGTAGTATCCACTGTTTGAAACTATAACTATGATTATATAGATATAAACTGGATCAGTACACGGCGCTAGTAAATGCTAGCGGTATCACCCTTAGTAATGCAGATGACTTAGGATTAGGGTCAAGGTGATATAATGCATCTCATTCTTATAGGTATTCAACGGTTTTATCTGTTCTTCCACCAGGAGACGTGGTGTCCATATCGGGAGAAGTGACACAGGTGTGTGTCGTGATGGAGGCCAGGCAAGGGGCGACCTTGGCTTGCACCTATATAGGAAAAGTCACATCAGGACTAGATGCGGTCATCAAGAGCAACGGCAATCTTGCCAAAGGAAAAGTTTGTGTCAAAGACTGTGGGATTGCATGGCAAATTTAACATTCGCAAATGGACTAAATGCAACACTGAAATGGCTGATGTAGAATTGATGGCTGATGTAGAATGGATTCACTTTACCCCATCACGTTTCACGCTATGTATTCACACCACTCATTACGTCAGGTCACGTCACCGTTCCGTGAATAGCTTCGCCCAGCTCGAACTTGTCCAAGTAATCCTGGTGCCTCATCCGCTTGGGCTGAAGAAGAGAATTGCACTGCTGTTAGAGGAACACATCAACTCAAATAAAGAAAAAGATATACTTACGTAAAGGCATGAGGAAAACACCAATTGAAGGAGAATATTTTTTTTACATTTTTCAGCCATTTTGAGTGTCAACATTCAAATTCAACCATTTGTTAAAGAAGAAATATCTTTGCAAGAACACTACTTTTCGGATATCAATTGCACCAAAAGACAGACTGGCTATATGCTGAAGGAATGGAACCAGCACGCCACGTTGAAAAGAACCCGTGCCGTTATGTGATGTCACATGACGGTGTAGTGTGAATATACCCATTTGTTTACCTAGAAGTTTTGATGTGAGGTTACGTGATGTGATATGACGGTATGCTGAGAATCAGCCCTAACGAGGAAGGAAGAATAAAATATTGACGAGAATATTCCCTGACCATATTATGCTCTTATTTTGTTACGAATTTCAGTGGTTTGTCTTAAAATATTTATCTAACGACTGTAAGCATTGGTTACTTCTTTAGTCGTATATAGTTCATATTTAACAAGACTCAAGATGATAGTACAAAGCGCCTTTTTTGGATGCCGGTTATTTCAAGATTTCCTGAAATATAAAACTTTTTGCTCATTCCAGTTTCTGACGGGGTCAGATATCTTGGTCTGGTTTCGGAACCATACCAAGCATTTTCACACTTTCTCCAGAGTAAGCTTCCAAGTTTCATGCCACAGTAACAAAGAAACCGCTAACATGGCCGACCGATATGAGTGATTCTGATAGAAATCCCCTATTAAATTAATAATTTTGTTGCCAATAGATAAGAATAAACTACCAAACTGTGGTCATATCTGTGCCGACTAGAAGCATGAATTAGGTTATATTAATAGCTTTATTAATTTCTGAAAGATATGATTGATATAATTGTAATATGGCCCCCTTGGCGACGTTCGAGGAAAAAATTCAAACATTTGTTCTTAATAGCTGATATTATCCTTTTAAACTGTTTCCCTAATATGTTTTTATTTAATTTATTCAAACCTTTTATGCTACAAAGTATATTCATGATTAAAAATAATATCAGTCCCTATCTCTTCGTCAGGTAATACAAAAACAAGACGTGAAAGATTACCTAAATTCACTCTGATTACCAAGAGCGCTCAGTCCTTGTCCTGCTGCAATTACTCCACCACGAGCCTAGGTCTAAATAAGTAAGGTCTCGTCACTGAGCTACTCAAATGCGTCCGTCTCGCGCATGACATCATAGGGCGTAATGCCCGGGGGTTCGATTATAATCATATATATATATATATATATATATATATATATATATATATATATATATATATATATATATATATATATATATATATGTATATATGTATATATATGTATATGTATATGTATATGTATATGTATATAAATATAAGCTCTACCTCGATTTTATAAATGTATGCCATGGTGCTGTGATACCTTAGTTGTATGATTTGTTATAGTAAATTCGTCGAAGCGTTTCGACTTTACATATGACTTGTTAGAATTTAAAAAAAATATCCTTCATATCCCATGGCTTCTTCGTTCATTTTACATTTTTATTATAACATACCTAAGCTACAGCATAAAGAAATATAAAATTGAAACCAACTAAAATATATAGTATATACCTACAAATAATCACTGTTAATTATTACCTGTAAAATCTGTCCAGTGTTCAAATCGCCAGAACAAGCCAGCATCTATTACTTTAGTTTTTTCTCCCCCCCCCCTTCCCCGTTCTCAGCCTCGCCGTGTGACGTCATAGGCCTTATCCTCCGAAACTGAGTTCGCTCGTTCGTTTGAGATTTGCGAAGATCTAGCTTCACCCGGGCTTTTTATGGCCGACGAAACCTTGCTACGAGCGGGAACAACCGGTCATTACATATTGCGTAAATTTCTTTACACGGATTAGCCTCCGGGCTAGTACAGTGGTAACGTGTCGGCCTCTCATCCGAGGGGTCGGCGGTTCGCGCAAAGTTGCAATTGTCGCCTGGAGGTTACTGCTGTGGCTGGGCACCACGGTAGGTAAGGACTAAGCTCATCCGAGTCAGCAGCTGCTGACACACTGTTAGCGAGTCGACATTAGTCGGCACAGCCGGGCTCCCCCATAGCCCGGGCGAGGCTCAGCTTCGCAAATCGAACTTATCCTTATCCTTACATGGATTGTGGTAACGTGTCGGCTTCTCATCCGAGGGGTCGGCGGTTCGCGCCCCGCCCAGGCGCGAGAAGTTGCAATTGTCGCCTGGAGGTTACTGCTGTGGCTGGGCACCACGGTGGGTAAGGACTAAGCTCATCCGAGTCAGCACCTGCTGACACACTGTTAGCGAGTCAACATTAGTCGGCACAGGCCGGGCGAGGCTTAGCTTCGCATATCGGACTTATCCTTACAATGATTTGGGACCGTTTTTGACGAAAACGACAAACTATAGTTTGCTTACGTTTCTCGTCAAAAATGCGCCTACGTAATTAACTTCAGCATACTTCCCACGGTATGTTAGTGTTTTACTCTTCATGCACTAAACATTGCACTGTAAACAGTTTGTAACTACACCATGCATATAGTTCAGCCCTGCGTTCCGCTCAGCCCTGCATTCCGTTGGGCTACGAAGCACGCGATTTCAACGGAACAGCCTGTAGCGCGATACTGTATTTTTTTTTAGGTGCGTCCAGCAGACGATGGTTCATTGCTTACAAACACTGCTAATGTAGAAGCCAAGAAATATTATTCGGTATGGATTCTGTCATATGAGCTTTTAAGATCAACTGAAACCTAATGGGTACTTCTTGGCTGGTATTTGACTAAATATTCAGGTGCAAAAGATGTTAAATGTGAAGAAACATGAGAGCAAGCCTATAAGCCTAGCTGCTGGACTATTAATGGAAGATATGATATGTAAAGATAAGAAGCGAACTGTTGTAAATACCAGCACAAATAAAATCCATAGTAAATGTGCTCACAAACAAAATTGAAAAGAACTTGTGCGTGTCAATACTACATTTGAGCGTCCCGTTCGAGAGTAGTGTTTGTAACGCATTAAAATGTTGAGTATTTTCCAACGGAACGCAAGGCAGGATTTACACGGCTACAGGTCTATGCTTATTAAATTTACGGACACTGAGTACTTTCCGTTTGGTCAACACGTTTAATTCCCAAATCTAGGAAGCTACTGGCGTTGACTATATATTTAGTATTAGTTGAATTCTAATTACGACTTACGAAATTTAATGTAGTAGGGAACCAATGTTCAGTTAGCGAAGTCACTCATGAATGCAATGGCGTTGATTACTTGGAGCGGAATTTCAAAAGGGAAAATAAGGGTACTATCTGGAGTTCTCCTTTCCCTCATTATGCAAAGTCACCATTGTCTGCATTCTAAATTATACTCTAATTAGTGTGAAATATCACTCAAGAATAAAATTGTAATACAAGCTATATAGTGTCAATAAGCAAACGTTTTTTATCTGTTTGCATTACAGTTAAAAGCTACTGCAGAAATGTGTTACGAATTAATTCTTGGTTGTTTCTTGTCACTCTGTATCAGAAAACTATTTTTAAATAAACATTTTTTTCTTA